AAATTGTTTACATTTTAATTTTTAGTTTCCCAATTTTTAGCTCTAGCTAGCCACGTATACACGACTTTAGACATTCGAAAGTAGGGTTGTACCATTAGATGAACAGGCACGACACTGTCTCAGTCTGCCACTGACACTATTAGTATTACTGTATTAGTAAAGCGTGCACGAATGCGCGAGAATCTGCGCGGCGGAACCTTTTTTGACCAACGGGTGGCGTTGCGGTAGAGTTGGCTATCTTTCTTCTTCTATATCTATAATGGTAGGTATGTGCCGCGGAAGAGACCCCCTTTTTTCACCCTAAACTTCCGTTCCGGAGACCCACATTTTCAGGTCTGTGTTACTTCCAGAGCCCCTTATTTTTTTACTTCGCAGTGGCACATACCACAAACATTAGTTTCAGAGACCCCCATTTTCAGGTCTGAGTTAGTTCCAAGGCCCCTCGTTTTTGACTTCGCAGTGGCACATACCTACAATAATGTGGGGGTGAGTGCCCCTCCCCCCGAGGGGTCGCTCATCGCCTTAGCCACGATATTACACATTCTAGCTATAATAATGGATGGAATACGGGTTGGCAATAAAATGAAGATTTCTATGCATTTTTTTACTTTCAGGAATAAAAATAATACAGAAGTATACAATTTTCTATCACATATAAACAAGAGCTAATAATAATACATAATAAACTCACAGAACGAGTTTAATTATTAATAGTGGTGTACGTGTGTGCGGTGAAATTTTATGTTGCAGAGGAGCGTATAAACTGCATTTACTAATTACTGTAAATCTGTAACTAATAAATAAGCGAAGGAGAATTGATTAACATTTATAAGGCTTTGTTATTAAATACGTTTCGTGTTTATCATTATTTTATTTTTTAAACATACAGATGTAATTGGGAAGAGTACTCTTTTAAAGATACAAATGTAGCTACTTGAGTATTGCAGAGAAGCATTTGAACGGCATTTACAAGGAAATTATCAGTAATAATAGGCGTAAGAGAGTCGATAAACATCAAGACTTTGGTAGTTAATACGATCACGTGTTTATTTACCACCATTTTTATTGAATCGTTCCAACTGCATGTGGACTGTACGTACCACAGTGTTTGCACGTACATTTCAGCATTATACAGCATCTCATACTTATAGCATATATATAGAACGGGCGTGAATCGAAGACGTATGGTTTTCTGTTTCGTTTTTGTCAAAAATGTAAATTAATGCTAGAATCATTGTTTAGATTTATTTCGAAATCATTGCTCTGAATCACACAATCTGATAAAAATATAGCGAAATTTATCTCTGCGACAAGTTATCGTTACTCTCCACAGTTGCAATACACAAGCAACTATACTAACTTCAATACCGGAAAGTGTCGTAATAGTGGCGAAAACACGAGACCGGTTAAAAATTGTGTTCGAAATATAGATCCTTTAAAGTGATTACGTCACCGTAAATAATAAAACTAAAAAATATATTTTTACTTTTTCATAAAATGAAAGTAATTCTGTTCACATTTTATGGTTAAATTGCTGCATTATACTTCCTATTTTCCTATATTGTTTGATGTAAACATACACTCGTGACTCATCCATAGCCCATAGCAAGCAATTAATATGTCAGGATAATAATATCAAATCGTCCAGGTTTCTTGGATTTTCTAACTAGTTGAGAAACAATCTTATCAGGTAAGAATTTGACGATACGTTTAGTCCCGTTATAGTACTTACTTTTAATGTAAAAAAATGGCAACAAAATTTGTACAAATATCACCATAGAACATCCGTGACGTAGTCAATTTAAACTGGAGTACGTCGTGGCTGTCGTTGCTTGCGGTTGTCTATATCCTTCGTTAATTTAGAAAATTCCCCCAACAGAGGGCGCAGCAGCACCTACCCACTACTTGCTCTCACTGAGCTCTTTAATAGACCTTTAATAGTTCATTAATGGTTATTAATGGTAATAATAATGGTAATAATCGTCATTAATAGTTTATTAATAGGGCTCAGTGCTTACTCTAGTTGGTACACGAAATCCTTGCATTTATAATATTCCTTTGATCTCTTTCCCGTGAATGATTCATTGAGAACTGTTGTCTTACAGACATCTAGTCTCAAAAATAACAAACGATAAAATTCCTCTACATACTATTCTAGCTGGTTTGCTAAACTTCAGCATAGACGTAAAATCGTTGTCTCTCCTCTACCCCACCCTCTCTTCCCCCTCTTTCTCTCTCTCTCTCTTTCTAACTCTCTCTCTCTCTCTCTCTCTCTCTCTCTCTCTCTCTC